ATTCCACAGTTTGCCCTGGCCAGCGGAAAGTTGGCCACATCCAGGGCTCACATCCATGCCATGTGAAACTCGTGGACCGAGCTTCGGCCAGGCACTATGGGCACCGGCCTGGGAAAGGTGGCCCGTAGCCCCAAAGAAGCCCGGCGTTGCCGAGTAGCATGGTGGGCGGTGTGAGGGCCACCGCGGCCACCAAAATCTTTGGGGTGTGACATGGGTCAGTTTCAAGTGTTAAAAGGAAATGCACCTGGTTCTATACGGTTCACTACTTTTGGGGGTGTTCAAACCATCAGAATGCATAGCCATTTGTGCAGTTGATAGGTTCCCCACTGAGAATTCATCGGACAAGACATGGGATACTTCCGGCAAATAAACAAATCGGCAACCATTTGTTTGGGGCACGCGGTTGCTTCCACCGCTTGGGATAGCAGCGATACACTTGGTAGCGCACATGATGTTCCATCGACTGTCCCTCAAGAATGCAACGAGTACAACAACACAGATCCAAAAACGCTGATTCCGAATCTGCCCTGGACGGGTGCCTGACATAGCTCCCCGAGTTCCTCTGTTTATTCCGTGGTTCTGATCCATGGTGCCGCAGGATTTGTTCAACTCATAGGACACACAGAACCACCTGGATGGTTCAATTCGGCGTCCCCCATGTTCCTGAGCTTCAGGTTGACTCGGATTGTTTTCACCGACTTCAATGCTGCCAAAATCTTTCAGCAAATCTTTGGCCGAAATGTGCAGAAATGTCATCCAGCATATCAAACCATCAGCCTGTGAGCTATCGACCAAGCCGTTGTTTTCGTCGCTTTTCCACTTGCCGCTCCTCCTCCCCCCCACCTCCTCCTCCGCCCGTCAGTTGATACCCGAGCCTCGTGTCTCGCCCGACTCAGTTGCAGCATCCCGAGCTGAACTACGGCCCCGGCGTGTCTGGGTCCCTGACCGTGCCCCACAACCTTTCAGCAGAGGCCCACCAGGCGCTCTTGATGCAAGGGGGGCAGAAATGCGCCGGGGCGCGATGTGAAAAGGCGAGCCAGGCAAAAGGAACAACGAAATGGTTCTTCACAGTTGTACATGGATGCTCGTAGTTTCCTGAACTTGCCTCAAACTCAGGCGCCCAGCACAACTCTCAGGATGTTTCATTGTCATATCAACTTGTCTCCACGACGGAGAACCTCTGGAATGAAAGGTTTATATTGGTGTTTGCTTAGATTCCCTTTGAACGAACGCCCGAAACAGGTACCGACCCAAAAAGGATTGGCTCTTTGATATGAGGTGCAGTCAAAATATGTTGAGGTCTATTGACAGGTTCAAAGGGACATGGGGGGACTCAGTGTGTTTCCCATCAATCCTGGTGAACTTACCGATCTGCCCAATTCTGACCGTGCCATGTATGCTCAATAGCCCTTGGTCGCGTTTTACAACCACCAGGGCTTGACTTGGCTGTGAAAGCATTGCACTTGATGTTATATGGCTCAGTATCGCGAGTTCGGACGGACAGAAGGCTGTTGGTAACAACACTTTTGTTTGGCCCAAATGTAATTTCTACTGGGGTAAGCAGGCGCGTTCTTCTTTTCCTTCTATCCTGCCTGACTGCAGCACATGACTCAGCATCCAAATGGCGTCGGCTGGGTGGACCACTGTATTGCACGACATGAACTTGATGATTTTGCTCTCACACATAAGGTGTGTGTTGTTTGCCATAAGGCGCAGGGACGGAGGTATGCGATGCTGAGCGCCGCGGGGAAAAGCTGCTTGCCAGGTCAAACAAAGGCAACACAGAACAACCATGGATTCCATGGATATCATGTGGCGTTGCCAGCAAAATCGCCACTCGTCCGTGTCACTGAGCGCAGACTCTGATTGGTATTGCCTTGGGGCCCGGCCCTCTGCCTGACTCGCACTCGTGCAGGCCCTTGAGGCAGGAGAGAAGAAGGACAGGATGAAAATCACGAGTCGAGCGCTGTTTGTCTGAGGGTGTCAAAACAACTCAAAACTGCGGGGGGGGGTGGGGTCAAAAGAGCAAACAAGCTGGGATGTTTGCTGTCGGCGTTTCTGAGGGGGTCATTGTGGGTCAAATTGCCTGATTGATTCTGCGGTGACAAGGCCCCAATATCAGAAAGCCTTGGTTGCTGTGGGCCGTTTGCAAGCGGCTAGGAGTTTCAGTCCCCAGACTTGGTTTCACCATCAGAATCAACAATCCAGAAAGGGCCCTTTTATTCCCCTCAAGGCCACAGGTCCGCAGGGGTGCTTCCTTTTTGGATAGTCCCCATACTCCCCCCGCACAAAAACGAACCCACCGGGGTGACGGATGCCTGTGGAAAAGGCGCGGAGACACGTGCCCTTGCCTCCAGGAAGCCGCGAAGAAGCGCGTTCCTGGGCGAGGCGATACAGTGGCCGTGGAAGAGCCTTTTGGCTGAAGAAAAAAACGACGCGTCATAGGTAAGGGACATCCGGCATAGGGGTCCGTTTGGGCAGGTTAGGTTGTAAAATCGATGGATCCCAAACAGTTCGGTTGTGCTTGCGCAACACAAGCTCTCTTCCACGGCTTGTTGGAAAAAAGGGGCAAAGGCTTCCTGACCAGGCTTTCTGCACTAGTACAAGTGTTTTTTTGTCTTCCCAAATTCCCAGAAGAGCGGGCACCGGACAAAGCCTGTATTGTTGTCAAAGCAAGGCACGGCACCATGAGCCAAAAGAAATCCAGTGGCCTTCACGAGTGTATCGCCAGCAGATGACTAGTTTTGGACAAAAAAAACAACCATGGATTCCGGCGGCCCCGGGCTCTCTGAACAGTTCCAACGCAAAGTTCTGCGGGTTCATTTCCTCATTCTTTACTGAGACGCAGCAAGAGGTGAACCAACAAGAGGTGAACCAACAGGTTGTGTTGATGGTCCTCTTCGCTAGATATCCACGTTCAACGTCAGCTGAAGCGAAGGTTCCTTCCCAGGCTTGTCTTTTTGAGGGTACATCTTTTGAGGTTGTTTTCAAGGCCCAAAAGTGGTCCCCTATTTTAAGCTACCCCGATTTGTGCAATCATTGCTTCGCCACCTTCGATGTCCCCTAGAAGTTGAAGTTGACCTGGCTGACGAGTGTGGGATTTTCGTCAACGCCCTGTTGGCTGTTTGGTGTTGGCAGGTTTTGCGGTCAACTTCCAGAGGCTGCATGACACTTACGACACGACAACCAAAGCTTCTTGCTTGATTGCATGGTCTCTACTGTTGGTGCCCTAAATGTTGCAATTATGGTAAAGGAAACCTGAAATGTGTCGTGGTTTGCAGTCGGTTTACTTTCAATATTGAGGGAATCCGCCGTGGCAGTTGCGAGTTCCCTTGTGCAGTGCAATGCTTGGCTCTGAGGCGAATCCTGAACGGCTGGCAGAGGCAAGCGCAAAGGAGTAAGCAACGGCCAATGTTTGCCGGTATGTATGGTAGAACGGGGGTGAAATTGGGAATGGGGGCTACTCACCAAATTCCCATTCGGCAGAAGACGCGATGAGTATTGACCGTCAGATGAAAGTGCAAAATACGGTGATTGAACATCTCTGAGCTCCAGCCAGGAAATGCTGGACATGCAGGGAATGCTCCCTTGGGTTCTAGTGTTCCATGATCACTTTGAGGGGAGGAACATTCGGACCCTGCGCTCGCCCCATGTAACTGAAGCCGTTCATGGCAAACCTCCAAGCATGGGGCAGAGGATGGCCGACAAACATGGGAAGTTGCCCTTTCCTTTCCCTTTTCGCTCGAGCCCAAAAAGGATGACTGCCGTACCCAAAAAAACAAGGACACACCCACATGGCTGTGAGTCAAATTAAACCACAGGGGACCGCAGGTTCTAGTCCATGTTTCCTTTTACCAGGGTTCTACTTCGGGTACCTATTTTTGACCCACAGCCACATTTCAGCGACTTTCCGGTTTTTACTGAAAAGCGTTGCATGACTTGGACGGTCACGTCAGGCGCAAGGACCGAGTGCGCTGAGCCGATGCCGGCGGCCGCAATGCAGAATGCATGCGTCGAGGTGTCACGATTCGTCTTGTGGCAGGTGCAAAGTTGCCAAAGAAGTACCAAAACCAGAGGAAAGCATGCGAATAAGCCCCAAACAACCAGAGCAAGCATTCGGTTTCAATTTCTGACAAAGTTCTCAGAGCCCTGCACGCGGAAGCCAAATTTGTTTTATCCAACCTGCCCCACATTCGCGTGTTCTGGGATTCGGACAGCAAATGGCAGCAGCTGCAGTATGTATTCGTTGCCACAGTTCATCATAGCCCGTGATTGTGCAGCCCTCCAGAACGTTTTATCATGACCGTGCGGTAGAGCTGATGGCCCATGGCAGAAGGCGTCCATATGCTTGGCCTTTTGCCGGTCAAGGTGCAGCGCGCACCATCTTCCGATAGAAATGAATCCCACAGACCGGGGCTTGGAGAAAAAGAGGCCGCTGCAGAAGGCAAGGGTTGTGAATTTGACACAACCAATGCTGTATCAAAAGGCAATTTTTAGTCAAGGAAGCACTGGAGACATGTTGTCCCAGAAAACCGCTGCCAGCGATCTGAGGTGCATAGTAGCCGTTCTGAAATGAGAACAACCTCGCCAGGGATTAAAACCAACTGATCTGCGAGCATTTCTTGTCTCCTCTATTTCATGCGGCCGGAATTCTCCGGATGTGCATATGGGTGTGTCTCGTTTGCGACCCGTTTTTCGAGTGGCTTAAAGAGGGGAAACTTACAGGAAACCACCCATTTGGGTGTCCACGTCCTCGTTTTGAGACAAGCTCCTTTGCGGGTTGATCCTAAATCCGAAACCCTAAAAACCTTGAGCCTACCCTCCCTCCAACTAAGATGGCTGACAGGGTCCTCTTGGAAATCGATCTTCCAGGTACCTCCCACATGGAACCCTGGAAGACCCATTTTCCTTTTACAGGGGCCCCCTGTCAGGTTCCAAGTTGGTGGAAGGGTACCTTCCAAGGGGTCATTTGAATGATTTTCGAGCGCTTTCCGACCGAGGCGCGAGGTGTCCGAGGCCCAAATAGCGGAAGCGGTCACGCTGCACAAAGGCCGGGCACCGGCAATTTCTGGCGAGAGCCCTGATGCCTGAGGAACCAGCTTGAATCGATCTCAGGTGAAGCTCCATCGAGCTCACCCATGAATTCCCCCCCAAAAATAAGGTATTTCCAGGTTGGGAGTAACACGATCATAATTTGCACAGATGAATTGTGTTTCCTCGTCATTGGCAAGGATCCTGGATTTTAATGCACCAGCCAAAAGAGCAGCAAACCTCAAGCCAGTGCTTGGTTGACCGTGGCGCTTTTGAAAAGTGCGGCTCAAGCGCCGGGCATTTTTCAGAGGACCAATCCTTTAGTTGCCGCATGGACATTGGGTCCTGAATGGCACGTGTGTACAGAAGAAGCTGCGTTTTTCTCCTCGCCTTTTCTCTGCCGCTTGTGTTCCTCGAGCTTGGCGCTTCGCCGCGAGTGGAGAGCCACCAGTACCAGAGCCACAGACCAGACAGGTTGCCCAGGCCCCGCGTGGAATCCTCACCTCAGAGCGGAGCTTGGGCAAGGCGCGGAGCGACCGACTGAGAGATTGAGGGAGGAGAGATGGTCACGCCATGAAAAACTCAGCCTACAAGGGTCAAACGAGTCTTATGTTTTTGGACATTCAGCATCCTCTGATTTTGGATATGTACTAGTAACAGTCAGAAAGATCATTTTCGGCCCCAGATTCTGGACCCCTTACGCTGACAGTCAGTTATGACGCTTTTGCTAGGACAACTTTTCCACGAACGGGCCCATCTTCACTTTAGCTTCGGATCGCACACCCTGGAAGGCCCTTCGGCGTGCTAGCCGCGTGTTTAGTGGCCTTCTCGGTGTTTAGCTCCTCTGCTACGGCTGAGACGGCCAATGGCGAGGTAGTTGAGACGCTCGACATTGGTTGGTCATCGAGTTTGAAACCTTCAACATTTTGGAGACGAATCGGACGTGATGAATTGAAGGAGCCCCTTGAAAAGCGGAAATTGTGAGGATAATGTTGACCACTGATTCATAAGCCCCAGCATGTCATGAGGAGGGTGGCTCTGGAAGAATGTAGAAAGGGAGCCCCGCTCCTCAGCACTGGGGCTTATTATTCAGGGGTAGAAACTACCGCAAGGCAAGCAATAAGTTTGGAGGACAACGCATTTCGGGGGTAGCCTCGGAATCATTGTGTTGATTTTTTTGGTGGAGGGCTATTTTTTGGGGGATTTTTCCCCGTTTGTCTTTAGTTTTTTTTTCCGGGATTTTACCTTATTTGGCTTCTTGGCTTTTTTGGCCTTTGGCTTCAAGGAGTCTGGGCCTTTTCGGCTTCTTGGCTTTTTGGTTTCTTGGCTTCTGGCTTTTGGCTTTTTGGCTTTTGGCTTTTTGGCTTTACTTGTTTGGCGGCTTCGGCTTTCCGCATCCTCTCTGCGTTTGGCTTTGTGTTGACCTCAAAAGGCAAGCCTAAAAGTCGGAACGAACCCAATGAATCCAACGCCCACCCTAACCCCACGTTTTGACCCCAAGACCACCCTAAACCACCACTAAACCCTCCCTAAACCGCCACTAAAACTAGAACCAACCTTAAAACCAAACCGCCAACCCGAAGAAACCCTAAAGAAACCTTAAACCAGCAAGACTCCCTGAAGAAACTTCTAAACAAACCCGCTCTAAGCCGGTAATAGACTATCCCTAAACGAACTCTAAACCTACCGTAAACCAACCCTAAACCCCCAACCCCCTAAGCCAATCCTTAAACCCATCCTAACCCACCCGAATTCAACCACTAAACAAGCCTTAACCCCCCCCCCAAAGCAAACCCTATACCCCCCCACTAAACCCACCCTAAAGCAACCCCAAAACCAATCCCTAACCCCCGCTACACCAGCACTAAACCCAAACTACACCCGCTCTAAACCCAGCCTACAGCAACCCTTAACAAACCCAAAGCAAACTCAACACCAATCGCCCCCTACTCCCCCAAACAAACCAAACCAACACTAAACCATCTCTAAGCCACCCTGAACCTACCCCAAACCACCCTAAGCCCACCTAAACACAACCACAGCCTAAACCAAATCTAAACCCACGCGAAACCAGCCCTAAACCAAGCCCAAGAAGCCCACCACAAATCAGCACTGAACCATCCCAGTACCTAAAGCGCAGCCACCCCCAAACTTTCCCGAAACAAGCCTGGAACCCACCCAACCTTGAACCTAGCCTAACAAAGCCAACTCGTGATGCTGAGGATGTTGAAAAGGATGCTGCCGAGTTGAACCGATGCTGGGGATGTTGACAGCGCTTGTGCACAACGAGTCAAGCCAAGCAGAACCACGGGAGATCGCACCTGCCAGTTTCAAGACAGAACATCCAGGAAAAAAAAAAAAAAAAACAGCACGGGAAAAAAATCCCAAAAAAAATCCAGACTCTTTTTTGGTTTGGAGCAGACTCATTCCGGAGGGTGTGGGTGGGTGTTGACCGATCATTCGCCCAGGCAACCAGCCGCACAGAGCCTCCCAGACTGGACCTCCTTGCTGAAGCCCGAGTGGCGCGCGGCCCTGCGCACGGACGAGAAGGCGGCCTGGCGCCGGGTCCCCAAATCCGCGCCTCGGCTGCTTGCGGCGGTGGTCTGGCGGTGTTGGGTGGGCTAAACGGTATGAATCTAGATTGGGACATCTTCCAAAAATAGGATTGCACGCGAATCCCGATGACGCCCAAGGATCCCAGTTGTGTGTTTTTCTTCACTGAGCAACTTGGGCAAATGCGCCGGACATGGATGGCCATTGTGACATATTTTGACCACAAGCCAGCAAGCAAATGAGCGAATGTGAGGCTGGGAGTTGGGGCGTCAACGGATGTTTCGAGGAAAGAGCAAAACAAGCAACCCCCGGGTTTGTGCACGGCTTTCCTTCCCCTCGTTTTGCTTGCACGAATCCCCAATGTAAGACCAGACATGGTGCTCCTTAAACTGAGGGTGGCACATGTCGGATTGCTCTAAATACGTTGGCTGTGAGCCAAGTCTCCGAGAACTTGTCGTTTTGTGGATGGGTCAGAGATGTCATGGATGGCCCAAAGTCTCATCACATCCCATTGTTGGTATCATGAGTTGGAGCCGCCCTGTATTGAACTGGTGCGCGGGGATGCTTCAGACGCAGGCTCCACGTTGCAGCAGTTGAATCTGGAAGTTGGCTCAAGATTTGTCCAGTTTCTTTTCCTACAATGGAAACCCCATAATTGACTGGTTGCACGTTGTTCGCTTTATATGGAGTCGGGATTCACCTTCCCAGGTGGGTGTGTCAAAATGGGGAACCCCGAACATTGCGCCCCAAGCTCTCCTTGAACCAAGCTGACAAACAGAAGCACGGGAGGTTTGATCCCCGAAGCACCGAGAGGTGCTGAAGAGACTGCGGGGCGTCGCTGCCGACCTAGCAGACATGCGGCAGGACATTTACGCCGAGGATTGGCAGAACCTGGCGATCTACCCAAACTTGTTTCAAGCGTACCTGCCAGCAACTTGGAAACGCATGGCAGAACTTGTGCCATCCTCTCGTTTTTGTCTTTCAACTTGTTTTGACATTCGCCAAAGGTCAAGGTGTGCCAATGGCCATAGGCTATAGATGCGGAACTGGCTGGTCTTACTTCAGTTGCGTGCTCGCTTTGGAATACCATAACAAGGAGTCTTGTGGAGGATTCATGTGCCCCCACAGAAGTCCCATACCACAACCCCGGAAAAAAAGAAGCATATCTCCTCTTCAGGACGAATGTTCCCATCCGAGCTAACCCGTGACGGGTCCTAGACCCGCCTCACAGTTTCAATTTGCTCGGCTCTTTGTGGATGTACCGCGGACGCCGGACATATTGGAACAAGTGGAACCCTGCAATCTACCACTGGCTGGTTCACTTGTATTCAGGGAATCCACTCTCGGGACCCTTTGATTTGAGGAGCTGCTTTGGGCTTTGGGATTTCTGACGTTGCTTGAGTATCCTTAAATTCCACCACGCGCTTTTGGCGGCATCCTCAAACAGACATGTCTGCATGTGGATTAACTACTCCTCAGGGAATTGTCTTCCGGGACCCTTCCATATTTGGCATTGAGGTCTTTCTGAACATTTATGGGTAGGCTCCTTTGCCAGGTTCTGCTTGTGACGTATTCATCCCGCCAAGGTCTTCACCCGATACACGGACTCGGCCTTCCCCACCAGCTCCCCAGTGGACGAATCCCTGCGCTTCTCCCTACGCTACGAGGCCGATGAATCACATGGCGCCCGCCAACCACGCATTGGTTTACTCCCCTGCAGGTTGATATGGAGCCCAACACCAAACGCCATTTTACGAGGCGCCTCCTTTCGAGAAAAAAAAAAAAAAAACATTTTTGTGTTCTAGGTTACTTAACGTGGAATCTGATTGGGGTCCCCGGTTTGAGCCATTTTCTTCAGCCTTCTGGTGGGATTCCATGTTAGTCGGTGGGAGGGTAAAGGCAAGCCCAAAAAGCGAATACTGCAAAAGGATGTTCCTCGACAAATGTTTGGTTGCGTCAAGTGCAGGGGAGCAACGTCCCTTGGCAAATGGAACCAGCAAGAACCTTCATTTGCTATGGCCAAGAAGCCGTGGTGATGGTACTGAAGGAGCCGCTGAACTCACGACCTGAGGGTTTGTATTTGTGACGAGGTTCCTTTCGCGTCTTTCAGGTTGGTGTGTCATCATTTTCCTTAGGATCTGGGGGGGGGGGGGGGGAGCGTGCCATTTTGGCTGTAGCCTCTTTCAGGATGCACTGTAAGTGGGACAAGAAGTTCAGGAGACATGGCTTGACATTACACACACAAACACAGAGTTTGTACAATGCTTCCATCAGGCCGGTGGAGGCATGATTCTCTCACGAGGCGATGAAGGAATCTTTCTTGAACGAGCTTTTTAAGGGTGAAGATTCTTTCAAATTTGAGACTGTTTGGCATTACAGCAAGGCTTTTTTTTGCATTTCTGTTGCTTCAGCCCGAGCCCTCTCTCGTCAGCAGTTTTGGTCAGCAGGTAGGGGCCTTCTATCGGC